AATCGTCTAAAAAATCTGTCAATCACAGTCAGATACATAATTTCGTATAAGTTCGTATACAGGAAGGCAATACAGCAATGTAACTGTTTTTATGGCATCATTCATCATCTAAAGATATTCTAGGTCATGCAATAAGGAATTATTTAACTTCCACGAGACTATGCCTTTAAAATTGTATTGGATTTTAACATGGAGAAACAATGGTATGTAGCTTGGATCTTCTATCTTAATTATCGTTACAATATACTGTTTTATGTAGAGTTTGACAGTCGTATTGGAATGGTTGATTCTGCACAAATTTGGTCTGAAACATCCTTGGAAGAAGAATACTCAATTTCATATAAACAGTACTGGTGTGTCTAGGGTCCCAAAGACAAGACTGGGCCAAGTGGGGGAAATTCTTTAAAAGGAATGATTAAAGTTTACCCAAATATGGTCTGAGACATCCTTGGAAGAAGGTGAATCAATTTTGTTTCGGCACCTTGGGGTTTGTGGAGATTGGGGGAAAAGAGCAAATTCATTCAAGCGACACATATGACGGCAGAACGATGTACAATCTAACTGAGATGGAAATGGACGAATTAAGAAGTTGATATACAAGTGGAGTGACTTTCAAAGATATAGAGTTGTTATGATACGAGTCACCATTCCAAAGTTGCAGTGTCAGTTGGTATGACAGGTGTCAACATGGCATAATTACGGTTTCAATTGGTATGACACATGTCAACAAGTCACTGTTACAGTGTCAGTTTGTATGACACGTGTAACCATGGCATAGTTACCGTGATAATTGGTATGATACGTGTCACCATGTCACAGTTACAATGTCAGTTGGTATGACACGTGTCAACAGCTCATAGATACAGTGTCAGTCGTTATAATACGTGTCAACAGGTCACAGTTACAGTGACAGTCGTTATGACACGTGTCGCCATGACAGTTACGTTGTCAGTGGGAATGTCAGATGTCAACAGGTCACAGTTACAGTGACAGTCGTTATGACATGTGTCACCATGACATAGTGTCAGTTTGTATGACACATGTCACCATGTCACAGTTACGTCGTCAGTTTGTATGACACGTGTCACAGTGCCAGTCGTTTTTCTGACGGAGGGTTTATTTGTAGACAACAGCACTAACACTATTGGTCGTCCCTCACACGCATTATAAGTCAGGTTGACGCTTGAAACTAGATATTAAAATGCTATTTCTTTTTAAGGGCTCAAATTATCATAGTTCGTCATTGATATTCTGGTTATTAATCAGTTTCAAGTGGAAGGTAAGAATGAAAGCAATGCTGTAGGTAACGATAACGTCACACTTGTACATGTCAAGTTTAACCGTTTATGTTTTCAGCGACACCACTGCGTCATTGTCCTCAATAAAATTGTTTTAAAATCTATATTCTCTTCCATTCAGCCCTACGGCTTACTAGTTAAATAATATGCACTTGTCAACCTGTTGGGTGCGCGACACTGAAGTTCAAAGTTGAAAATTATCTTATCGATATTGCATTACACGTGCCTGACCCATGTGAGAGGTCACCATATAAAAAGACATGACCAAGCCTAGACACAAGCTTTTTTGTCAGTCAGGGTGCGTGACAGACATTAAGCCAGAAGGGAAGGATATCTTGCGGGTCTCGCGTCCGCGATTTGCATTTGCTTGGTAAAATTTTCAGCCATTTGAATTTATTTTTATCGATTCCTTTCCTTCGCTCCGCGAATTTCATTTGTTTACATTTGGTTATCAGCTGTACGGTTATGCGTCGTAAGCAGGCTCGCGGTAAACGGTTGCCTTTGTCGGTGACTTTCGATAATTGTGAGTCTGACGATGACCTCTCTCTCCATCCCGGAGAGACGGAGGCAGAGGGGTGTGATGATTTCTTTCCGGGACCCCTTCCCGATTTGAGTTCGGGTCTAAGCGACTCTGTCGCTTGTGCAAGTGATAAGGACTCTGCACAGCCGCAGTCACCGAACGTTGTTCGGAATGACAAATATGGCGGCGTCGGAGGCGATGCCCCGACTGTTCCTTTGCCCCGTGGGGGTAAGAAACGTCCCGTCTGCACTGAGGCTGCCGCTGGTAGCGAGTTTCAACTCATGGCGAAACGTATGAGGGCTCTGGAGGAGCAGTTAGCAGACGTTAAGCGGGACCGGGCGAGTACAGGAAACCAAACGGCTGGTGGGTATGGCAATGATTATGTTGTTGACAGTTTTGACTCAGATTTTTTTAGTATGACGGACCCGTTGGGTCTTCAAGATACAGAACAATCTTCCATTGAGTTAGATGATATATATTCTGATATTTTACCCACAGAGGAAAGTCATATGGAGGACTTGTTCGCCATCCCTGACTATGTATATGGTGATGTAAAGTTGGGCCCTAGTGTTCACGAGGGACTTGCCAAACTGGTAAATACTGCGTGTAGGAAAACGTCGGACGTTTCTAAAATGGCAGAAAAATACCCTGTACCGGCAAATTGTGCCGATATGACCGTCCCACGATGTAACCCTGAGATTTGGGGTAAACTTGGTAAGCCTTTACAGGCAAGAGATTTTCAACTTAAAGAGGCCCAGAAGTCGGTGTCTGACGGTATGGTACCTGTGATGAGGCTGACTGAGGCTCTTATGAGTCATCCAGACTTTCGAGAGAAGTTCAGGCCTCTGTGTATTGATGCTCTGTCCATGCTAGGGAATGCAGTACATACATTGTCTGTGAAACGTAGGTTTCTTATGAGACAAGCCCTCCCGTCATCATATCATGCCTTATGTGGGAAAGACATGCCAATAACTTCAAATCTATTTGGGGATGATCTTGCAAGGAAGGTGAGAGACATTTCTGAGGCTAATAAGGCTTTCAATGTTTTGTCTTCACGAAAACAGGTACAGCGAGGAGGCTGGAGTGGCGGCCAGAGAGGGCGAGGGGGCTATAGCCAGTACAGAGGCTCAGCAAGGCCTTTTTTACGGTCGGGCCAGCGGGGCCGGGGACAACGGCGACCCGCATACATGCAGCAAAGTCAAAGCCAGAGCCAGACACAGAAAAAAGAATAGCCCCTAAGGTGGGTGTTCCATCTGGTAGAATCGGAGAGCGTGTAGAATTTTGGAAATCATTGACTGATGATGAATGGATTTTGGATACTGTGCGTGGTCTTACACTTGAGTTTGTAGAAATCCCTGTGCAACATAAATTGCCAGGACCAGTAGCTTTTAGTAAGGAAGAGATGGAGATTGTTGATTCTGAGGTGAATGATTTAGTATCCAAAGGGGCAATAACTCAGTCTATTCATGAGAAAGGTGAATTTGTTTCTAATTTGTTCCTGGTCCAAAAGAAAAATAGTAAATTTAGGCCAGTCATTAATTTGAGGAAGTTGAACGAGTTTGTGGTGTACCACCATTTTAAGCAGGAGACCTTAGATGTTGTACTAGAATCTGTAGAGAGAGGTGATTTCTTCACTTCTATTGATCTGAAGGATGCATATTTCAGTATACCAGTGAACAAACATCATAGGAAATACCTGAAATTCAAATGGAGAGGTATACTATATGAGTTTATGGCTATGCCTTTCGGTTTGACAAGTGCCCCTCGGATATTTACCAAAGTACTGAAGCCAATTATGGCTAAAGTTCGCAGCTTGGGTATCCATGCTTTCTATTACATAGATGACTCTTTGGTCAAGGCTGCTGACAGAGAGGTTTGTGAAAGGAATTGTAGGGTGTTAGCTGGAGTTTTGGAATCTGCTGGGTTCCAGATTAGTTCCGAAAAATCTTTGTTTTCTGCTAGTCAAATGGTCATTCATCTTGGGTACTTGATAGATTCTATCACATTTACCGTTTCGTTACCAGAACAAAAGGTGAAGAAAATCATAGATGCATGTTCCCATGTCTTAGGTCAAGAGTCAATTTCTCTAAGGGAACTTGCTAGTCTCATTGGCTTGTTTACGTCATCTCTTAGAGCAGTTCGGCTGTCAGGACTATTTTACAGATTGGTAGACAAGGAAAAGACAGCAGCCCTACATAATGGTTTGTCTTATGACGACAAGGTCAGTTTGTCTAGGTTGGCACAAACGGAGATAGTATGGTGGAGAGATAAGGTGAACAGTATGAATGGTCGGGCGATAAGACCAAGTGATCCAGATGTGATTATGGAAACTGATGCATCTGGTGATGGATGGGGAGCAAAGTTTGGCTCTCAGATAACAAAAGGTCTTTGGTCAAAAGCAGAACGTGAACATCACATAAATTTTTTGGAATTAAAAGCTGTCTGGTTGGCATTACGATGTTTTTGTTCAGACATGTCTGATACTCATGTCAGGGTTGTGACGGATAACGTCTGTACAATTTCATATGTTAATAAGCCTGGTGGAAATGTAACAGAGCTGAATGAGTTAGCAAAAGAGATATGGCTGTGGTGTACGGACAGAAATATTTTCATTTCTGCCTGCCACATACCGGGTGTTTTGAATGTTGATGCTGATTACTTATCACGGTCAATGCAGTCTTCGGGAGAGTGGTCACTACACCCTCTGATATTTGACAGGATATGTGGTCATTTCTTCAATCCAGATGTTGACCTATTTGCAAGTAGGTTGAATTTTAAGGTTACCAAGTTTGTCTCGTGGTATCCTGATCCAGATGCTTGGTTTTATGATGCCTTTTCTATGTCATGGTCAGACTACTTACCGTATATTTTTGCTCCTTTCAGTCTGATCAGCCGTGTTCTGCACAAAGTGAAGGAAGACAAAGTAAGTATGGCAATAGTAATCGTTCCCTTATGGAGAAGTCAAGCGTGGCTACCTACTCTATTAAATATTGTTGTGGATGCGCCCGCACGCCTGCCGAGGTGGCGAGACTTGCTATTGTCCCCACAGGGGGAGCTGCATCCCTTAAGAAACAGCCTGAGACTGATCGCATGTTGCGTGTCAGGAGATCTCTCCAGAAGCAGGGCTTTTCACGACAGGCTGCCACACTTGTCTTCTCCTCCTGGAAACAGTCCACGTCCAAGCAGTATGACTTGGCATGGAATAACTGGGTCTCTTGGTGTGGTGAACGACAGGTTGGTGCCAATCATCCCACTATCAAGGAAGTGATTTCCTACCTCACTCATTTGTTTAATGTAGGGAAATCTTACAGTGTTATTAATACACATAAGTGTATGTTGTCCCAGACTTTGCCATTACTAGGCCATACAGTATTGATGAACAATGCCCTAATTTCGAGGTTTATGAAGGGGGTATTCAACACTAATCCTCCTAAGCCCAGGTATTCATCGACATGGGATGTGGCACCTTTGCTGAAGTATTTGGGTGATATGTTCCCTTTGACAGCCCTGGAGGTGGACTCATTGACTAGGAAATTAGTTTGTTTGATAGCACTTACAACAGCACAAAGAGCACAAACATTGGTTAATTTAGACCTTGAACATATGCAGGATTTTGGACACTATATTGTTTTTACAGTCCCAGAACTTATGAAAACTTATGAAAACATCCAAGCCATCAAAGCCATTTTATAAAGTAACATTGTACAAATATTCTCAGGAAAGATTATGTGTAGTTTCAACCTTAAGATATTATGTGTCACAGACAGTAAACATACGGAAGAGTAATAAACTTTTAGTTTCTTTCAGAAGAGGTTTGCAAGTGTCCACTTCCACAGTGGCAAGATGGGTGAGAGAAGTGATGATGGCGGCTGGAATTGATCGACAGTTTAAACCTCATTCAGTTAGAGGAGCGTCTGTGTCGGCAGCATACACGGCGGGGACATCCTTGAGGGACATACTGGAAACGGCAAACTGGGCATCAGCCGAGAGCTTTAGGAGGTTCTACTTAAGAGATATTGATGACCCGGGTTCCTTTTCAACCAGTGTTCTGCAGACAGGGCAGTGATAAGATGTCAATGATATAGACTTTGTGAAATGTAGTGTAATTTTGAAATACTAATGAATGAGTGAACTTGAGTTGCAGTTTGGTTTTCTTTTTCATGGTTATCTGGAATGTTGGCGGATTCTTTGAAGGTGCATATTATTTAACTAGTAAGCCGTAGGGCTGAATGGAAGAGAATCCCCCCCTCATCCAAGTATCACGATGGATGAGAGGGATTCTCTGTAATGAAGCCCGGAGGCTGGAGAGTTAAATACCCTCCCAAGTCTCTGGGTTTCTATTTCTGCTGTTTAGTTTTGGATCTCCCACCCTATAGTTGCACACAATCTGCCAACATTTCTCTTTGAAATAAGCGTGTGTCTAGGCTTGGTCATGTCTTTTTATATGGTGACCTCTCACATGGGTCAGGCACGTGTAATGCAATATCGATAAGATAATTTTCAACTTTGAACTTCAGTGTCGCGCACCCAACAGGTTGACAAGTGCATATTATTTAACTCTCCAGCCTCCGGGCTTCATTACAGAGAATCCCTCTCATCCATCGTGATACTTGGATGAGGGGGGGATTTAAAGAAAGAAAGATTTTAAGTTTGCGCCATGGCCACGGTACAAGTTAAGCCAAAAATGGATTTTACTGACACGAGTATCACGCAGAGACCAAATAAAATGGATGATAATGATATTATTTAAAGTGAAGTGCATTGCAAGGAATATTTCATACATAAACGATTTTAAAATATACTGCATTATACTGTTATAACATAAAAACGGAAAGGTTTTGAATGGGCGCTTTGAGAAAATTGTTTCATGATTAAATTATATACAGTGTCGTTAATTTCCGCCCTTATATTGCTTTGTAGAATGTTGGTTTACATAACCTCACGTGAGGAATGCACGTGGATTGATACTTCCTCCACACGACCTACAAAAGAACTTGCTGGGGTGGTTGTGTTCTTGGGCAAGACACTGTACCTAATATCTCTGGGTTGCTTGCTACGGCCTCCCGCATGTTGTTCAGTGATGCAGCAAATACGAAAACACTGAAACAACTACATTGTATTACACGAGTCAGCAGCAGCGAGATATGTGGTGTGATTGGAATGGTATCATGGTCATATCAGCATCATATCATCTATTAAAAGAAAATCTATGATGACGAAATCAACGCCATTACGTTTTATCATTCTGCTTAAAAACTGACATAATCAAATGGCTTCTTGTGCAAACATTAAATATTGATGATACCGTTAATTGAAAATTCAAATTCGAACCATATAGCTGTTTCCAGAATAAATTCAATGTAAAATGTTGTTTCTTTATCCATATGTGTATCTTTTATAGTTTATAAAACTAATTTGATCAAAAAAGAACAAACACGAAATAGACATTATACATGTAGCACATATACGATGATCTAATAATGGCGACGATGAAATATATCTATTACGGTATGTTAGGTTTAGCAAATGTTCATTGTCCCCGTGCAACAGCTTGTGTTGATCCATCACACACTTCACTAGAAATCAAAACGCTTTTTATTTATTTTATCTAATTTAAAGGGTTTTATGTCCTTTATTACGGCCCTTCAACAGACGAGAAAACATAGGAAAAAGAGTGGAAGGGGGAAAGTGGGAAGTGATCGGGAGAGAGTGAGATACAGAGATGGTGTAGAGAGGGGCCGTCTATACTATCAGTGACTGGAGAGAGTGAGATACAGAGATGGTGTAGAGAGGTGCCGTCTATACTATCAGTGACTGGAGAGAGTGAGATACAGAGATGGTGTAGAGAGGGGCCGTTTATACTATCAGTGACTGGAGAGAGTGAGATACAGAGATGGTGTAGAGAGGGGCCGTCTATACTATCAGTGACTGGAGAGAGTGAGATACAGAGATGATGTAGAGAGGGGCCGTCTATAATATCAGTGACTGGAGAGAGTGAGATACAGAGATGGTGTAGAGAGGGGCCGTCTATAGTAACAGTGACTGGAGAGAGTGAGATACAGGGATGAGGTAGAGAGGGGCCGTCTATATTAACAGTGACTGGAGAGAGTGAGATACAGAGATGGTGTAGAGAGGGGCCGTCTATAGTATCAGTGACTGGAGAGAGTGAGATACAGAGATGGTGTAGAGAGGGGCCGTCTATACTATCAGTGACTGGAGAGAGTGAGATACAGAGATGGTGTAGAGAGGGGCCGTCTATACTATCAGTGACTGGAGAGAGTGAGATACAGAGATGGTGTAGAGAGGGGCCGTCTATACTATCAGTGACTGGAGAGAGTGAGATACAGAGATGGTGTAGAGAGGGGCCGTCTATACTATCAATGATTAGAGAGTGAGGTACAGAGATGTTGTAGAGAGGGGCCATCTATACTATCAGTGACTGGAGAGAATGAAATACAGAGATGGTGTTGAGAGGGGCCGTCTATACTATCAGTGACTGGAGAGAGTGAGATACAGGGATGAGGTAGAGAGGGGCCGTCTATACTAACAGTGACTGGAGAGAGTGAGATACAGGGATGAGGTAGAGAGGGACCGTCTATATTAACAGTGACTGGAGAGAGTGAGATACAGGGATGAGGTAGAGAGGGACCGTCTCTATTACTTGACCTGCTCTGAAATTCGGATTTAGAAGACGAATCCCTTGTCCTCTTGCAGACCTGGCCTAACACAAAGAACGCTGCATCACGAGGACCGGTTAAGGACAGAGAGGAAGAGGAAACTATGCAACGGTTATCAAAAGAATGTTTTGAAAATACTAGACATCAAAAATCTATATGACTCATTGTTTTACTCATTATTATATTAATATAACTTGTGTTTATCAAATCACATATTTCGTAATGCCGAAAAGATATTGAACAGACAGTGATGTGATGTTGATCGATATAGTGATCGACCAACACGACAAACATTACAAGATGGCTTTTATCAATTTTGAATTTATTAAGGAAACAAAATAAGTATCTCCATTTTTCAAAATATGTTAAATTATAACATTTATGGCCATATTAATCACCGTCTCCCGTTCACCTGTATATCCGTTAAAAAAGGTAGGCGTTTTACGATGTGCTAATATAACAGATCAAGAACAACTCTTTATCAATTATTCCTTGCATATATGTCTCATTTTCATATTGTTCTCATTGCATACCACCTGTGACAATAAATTCAGTTTGCAGAAGTTTGGGTTAGATAACAACTGGAATAGACAAGTCCACGTAACCAGCTTGCCACGTTTAGAAGGACGAAGCAGCTGTATGATGTAAAACCACTGACGAGTCGTAGAAGGACGAAACAACTGTATGATGTAACACCACTGACGAGTCGTAGAAGGAAGAAACAGCTGTATGATGTAGCATCATTGACGAGCCCTAGAAGAACGAAAAAGCTGTATGATGTAGCGTTACTGCCGAGTCCTAGAAGGACGAAACAACCGTATGATGCAGTTTAATTTATCATTTGACTCTGCTGTATTTAACGCCAAAGTATTAAGGATGCGATTTTTTTTGTCGTTTATAGAAAATGTCGAATATTTCCAAGGCCTATAACTGATTTAATTTTTCTAGATTCTATTAACTCCCTTATTGTAATCTTTCTCTGCTTGACTGCTCTCATTGTATTTTCAGAGCAAAGTTACGCGAAAAGTAGAAAAGACAAAAAAAAAAAAAAAAACCGACAGCAGACAATCCAAACTATGCGTTATCTTGATTGAATATTGTTTTTCAATACGATTTGACAACATACGTTACGAATAAATATCTGTGTTCATGTTTATTTTTCAAGGTTATTTTAATTCTTAATGATTAATGGTACGCTTTTATTGTGTTGTGAAGGATATGTGTGTGTCAAGATATTTTAACAAATCAACGGGTCGGACGTTTTCAGTCCATACACGATAAAAGTTCCAACAACCATTTGTTCAAGACGGTGATATTTGTGATCCACTTCACACCACCAGCCCTTCAGATTGATCACCTGTCGTGGTAAAATAACAAATATATGATAAACTTCATACCACCAGCCTGCCAGGTTGAACACTTGTCGTGGTAAAATAACAAATATATGATTAACTTCATACCACCAGCCTGCCAGGTTGAACACCTGTCGTGGTAAAATAACAAATATATGATAAACTTCACACCACAAGCCCTTCAGGTTGAACACCTGTCGTGGTAAAATAACAAATATATGATAAACTTCACACCACAAGCCCTTCAGGTTGAACACTTGTCGTGGTAAAATAACAAATATATGATTAACTTCATACCACCAGCCTGCCAGGTTGAACACCTGTCGTGGTAAAATAACAAATATATGATAAACTTCACACCACAAGCCCTTCAGGTTGAACACCTGTCGTGGTAAAATAACAAATATATGATAAACTTCACACCACAAGTGGTAAAATAACAAATATATGATAAACTTCACACCACAAGCCCTTCAGGTTGAACACCTGTCGTGGTAAAATAACAAATATATGATAAACTTCACACCACAAGCCCTTCAGGTTGAACACCTGTCGTGGTAAAATAACAAATATATGATAAACTTCATACCACCAGCCTGCCAGGTTGAACACTTGTCGTGGTAAAATAACAAATATATGATAAACTTCATACCACCAGCCTGCCAGGTTGAACACCTGTCGTGGTAAAATAACAAATATATGATAAACTTCACACCACAAGCCTGCCAGGTTGAACACCTGTCGTGGTAAAATAACAAATATATGATAAACTTCACACCACAAGCCTGCCAGGTTGAACACCTGTCGTGGTAAAATAACAAATATATGATAAACTTCGTGGTAAAATAACAAATATATGATAAACTTCACACCACAAGCCCTTCAGGTTGAACACCTGTCGTGGTAAAATAACAAATATATGATAAACTTCACACCACAAGCCCTTCAGGTTGAACACCTGTCGTGGTAAAATAACAAATATGTGATAAACTTCATACCACCAGCCTGGCAGGTTGAACACTTGTCGTGGTAAAATAACAAATATATGATAAACTTCATACCATCAGCCTGCCAGGTTGAACACTTGTCGTGGTAAAATAACAAATAT